TTTGTGGTGGATCTGACTAAAAAATGTCATAGCGATGCACGACCGGCCAGATATGGCCAGTAGTGCATAATAAACCCAAATTATGGCCAGATTTCAGTGGTGATAGCCAGAATCTAGCAATTATGAGTGGATGAGAGTGTTTTTGTTAATTTATAAACTTTTAATTATTAGAAGTGTTTAGTAAATTAACAAACCTATGAGTTTTTTTTTTTTTTGGTTAACTTTTAAATCCTATTTCATAATAATAACCCAACTCAACTTAATATTTTAAAAATACTACTCAAAACAATAAATCAACACATTTCATCATCTTTTTGTTGGGATTTTGATATGGTAGCCGTGGGGTACTACTGTTAATGGAACCTCCTACTTTAAAAAAAAAATAAAAAAATTATTTATTTAAAAATAAATAATGTATTAATTATTAATAAATAGGCATTAATTACTGTAATTTTTTAATAATTTAAAATTATTTAATAATATTATCTGTCACTTTTCATTATATAAATATAAAATAATATTATCATTTTTTTTTTTGCATTATTTTATTTTGATTTTATAATGAAAAAACACAAAAAATTTGACTGACAAACTTTGGTCTTTTTTGGCAACCAATAACCTTTTACTTTTTTTCAACCAAGGAAAATTATTTTAAGGCCCAAACGTTCTAATAAATTGTCAATTTTAATGGGTTCTAAAGTCACCGATATATCAACACAACTATAGTCGAGAGTCTATTATTTAAAAGTATAGTTGATTATCGATGAGTTAACACATTCATCGAATACATAATCATAGATGTTTGTTTGTTAAATTGTTGCATTCAATCAAGATTTCGACAATGCAACAATATATTGATGCCCAAAATTCAATTCGAAAATACAACAAGTTATCGGAGGTCGGTTTTTTTAGTGATGATTATATTGGTGCAAAATCCCAATCAATCTAAACTTTATTTAAGCCAACAATGGTAATCATTCATGTTGATAATAACATCTCCAACCATATAGAAAGCTATATGTGAAATGTGATTCTCATGTCCAATAACTTTATAGAATTTTGGAAAAAAAAAAAAAAAAAAAGGGTTCAAACGACGTAATCATATTTATCTAACTTCTATTGTAAATTAACAAAGTTCAAGAAGGTAAGACTCCGTTTGTTACTCTCTTGGGAATACTATTATTAGTATTTCCAATAAAGTTAAACAGTAAAATTGACTTATTCTTAAAATATTATTCAATTTCTTTTAAACCCCCTTAAATTTGTTAATTTAACTAAACACTCTTAAATATTTTTTTCAGACATTGCAAAAACACCCCAGCAACCCTTTGGCTGTGGTGGTCGGCTGTCCGTATTTAGTGGGTGGGTTAGGGGTGTTTTTGTTAACTTTTAATATTTTATTATAGGAGTGTTTAGTAAATAAACAAATATAAAGGGTATTTTTGTTAACTCTAAATCCTACATCATTTAACTTTTTTTCAAAATATTATTCTAAAAAGTATCAAAATAATGAATCAAACGGACTCTTATATATTTTGAAGCTAATCTTTTTCAATTAAGCAAATGTTTTAGTTTACTCAAAATTATTAAACTCTCGGGTGTAATTAACCAAGTAAAAGGTTAACCAAGATGATTTTAAATAGAAAATATTTTTAAAAATAAGCCAATTCAAACCCTTCATACTCAAATAAGTTTTTTATATCATCAAATTCCCTTAAAAAAATCTATCAAGTATTAAAAATCTACTAAAAATAATAATAATAATAATAAAAGAAGTTGAGACAAGGGACAAGCATGTTAAAGTTAACTCTATGAACCATCATTTTCTAAACCAAATTGGTCAACAGTCAACACACATGTTCTACACTTTCAACCACAAATTCAATTACATATACTATAATCATATCTCAAATTATTAACAAAGACAAAATTGGATCAATTTATAAGTTTTGAATCTTCTTAACAAAATAAGCTTATTATAAATAAAATTCAAACTATACCCAAAAAATGAACAATAATGTTGTTTATTGAGTTTGAAACATTATTATAGATGATGCTAATCTTAAACCATCAAGAATATAAAGAACGATTCATTTATATTTGGTTGAAGAATACTCAATAGCGAACATGAAATGACCATATTATATCATTTATCCCCTTGTTCAACATTATAATTCTATGTATCTACTCACAATCTCATATCGCATGTATATGAAAGCTAGGTCAATTTATAAATCACAAGTCTCCCCAACTATTTAGATCCATTTTAGATTAACTTCTAAAACCAAATCCGTGCAAATTAGACATGAAACTGATAGTCAAATCCTAAATGTTGCATATGTGACATATAATAAACCTATTTTATTATCAAATCTGCGTCCCTTTCTACTACTTTAACCACTTGGCTTTGGCTGGTTAGCAAGACTTTAGGTTATTCAAAAGTCTTATGTTTGAGTTTCACTAAATGATCATCTACCACATTTGTCATTTATTTGGTCCATTAAGCTTGTAAGATATTCAATGAACCTTGGGAATTAATCGAGGTATGCGCAAACTGATCCCAACACCCTAATCACATTTAATAGACATATAAACACCATTGTTCCTTTCATTTATACTTGTGGAAAGATACTCTCTCTTCTCTCTCTAAATTCACTAGGACTAACACACACGTAATAAATATGTTTATCTAATCTAGTTTTATCAAGCAACCCATTAGTCTTACAACTAGATTCCTTACTACTACTTATAGAAACCAAAATCTACTCCAAAAAATTCCCAAATTTCTAAACAACTTTTCCTGCATGCAAAAAAGATCTCAAAGATTTGAAAGTTTGAAGGGCTTTCATTCATCAACATTACCACATTTAGCAATCCTTATTGTGAGAACAAATAGTGAAAAGTGAAAACACAGAAGAAAACAAGAACAAAAAAAAGTGTGTTAAAAAAGTAAAAGTAAACTAGTCAAACAACACAAACACAAAGTGAAAAACAAAGGCTGCAAAATTGAAGTGAGCATTTCAACAAACAGTTGGCGGATTTTGAAATGAAATGAAACTTTCTTCGATTCTTCTCTCAATCTTTGAGTCAAGCTCTCGTTTTTCCTCTTGCTGGAGGTGCCGTGGGATGTTTGGGAGTAGAGAGTTGAGAATTGTAGAAATGGGAAGAGCCACGTGGCGGGATGCGAGTGGTTAGGTAGATGAGTTGAGAGGGGAGTTTTGGTTGTGTCTCTCAATGAGAACTGCCATGTCAGAGCGTCCTATGACCCCGGCGAATCCGTATCTCATGCTCTCTCTATAAAAACCCTCACTTTCTCTCTCTATAAATATATATATATCTATCTATTTATTTATTAAATTTTGTATCTTTCTCTCTCTTTTGTCTTTCGCTTTCTCATATCTCTCTCTCATCCATCTCATAGAGATATTATTCTCGCTTTAGAGACCTTCTATGCCCTAATCGTTGCGTGGGTTTATCCGGGCATCGCTCACAATCTGGACTTTCTCTTTGTGTTACCTCTCAATTGGGTTGTGTTGTGAGCAGCTATTTTGTTGATTGGTTTGATCCACCGACAAGAGGGGGAGATTGGTGAGCTTCTGAATTTATCTGGGTACTGTTTGTTTCTTTGTTTTATGGTTTTTCTTTTGTGGGTTTTTATCTGGGTGTTTTTAATTTTGGCATTTGAGCTGATTTTTGTACTGCTTTGTTGGTTTTGTAATGTGGAAGCTGTTTGATTGTTGAAAATGGCGGGGTTTTGTATTTTGTTTGTGGTTAGTATTGAGTTTTGGGATGATTTTGTTATTGGGTTTTGTGTGTTTGAGTGGGTAAGTGAAATGGGGTTCTGGGTTTAGCTTCAGTTTGAATGTATGTACTTGGTTAAGTTGTTGGGGCTTGATTGTTTAATTATTGAAGTTTTTTTTGGGTGCATTTGTTGGACATTTGATGATTAATTGGTGGATATTTGTGTTGAACTAGATTTAACATACTTTGTGGTTGCTGGGTTAGGCAGTAATGTGTCAGTCTAGTCATATGGTTTTGCCTTGGTTGTTGCTTCTATTAATGTTCTGATGATGATTATTTGAATTGGGTAGCTAGGAATGAACTGATTTTATCTTGCATTAGGTTGTTACAGTTATGTATCAGCTTGCTAGATCTGAAATGGGTTTATTAAGTTTTGTTCAGGTGTCATGCATCTTACATTAATATTCATTTGCATCTCTGGTAATTATGGAGTAAAACTCTTGTATGAAATGTGAGTTGTCCTATTATGTTGACTAATTTCATAATAATTCAATGTTATTGCATTTCAACATTTAGATAAATGCTACAGTCTCCTTAAGTTTCTATGATAGTCTTTACTACTGTGATGCATCACTTGGTTGGATCAATATCATAGACTTTATTTTTGTTAATTTATTGGTCTTTCCATGTCTATTTAACTGCTGTAGTTATTCTATTTGAATGCAAGGAAAAATTGGGAATTGACTTTTCTATCACTCGGCTGGATTCATCTTTAACTCTGGTGTTGTTCTAAAATTGAAATTGAAATTTCGTCTCTTGAAATTGTTTCCAAGCAATGAATTTGATTTGCATGTGGTTGTTATCTTTGTGTTTCTTTAGCCTTTTTAACGGATCTTTTGCGTCTCATTTGACTGTCACTGTTGGTAGTACTTGTCTATAAATATGAACTCTAATGTCTTCAAATCTGCTGTTTAGCGTATTTGGAGAAATTGAACTTTGGTGAATATATGCTATGACTTTGGAAAATGCTTGCATTCTTTTCAATTGATATTTTTGTTGCCTACCAATCTAAACACATAAAGCTTTGAAATTTTATTTTCATATTGTACTGCTAATAAGTTGTTTTCCCCCTAAATGGCTCAATTTTGTTGTAGATGACATGAAGGTCATTGAACAAAGTGTTGAATTCCCATTGTGTTTTATACTCCTGCAGTTTGCTTCCCTATCTAACCCTTCTTTATGGTCCAAGTGTAGGATCACCTTCCTTAGACTCTGTGGCATATAGGACTGGTATGAGAAAGCTTTGATAACTCAGCTTTTTCATTGACACAGACATGCCTACTTTCGCTGTTAGAGACAATTTGAGACCCATCAGTGGAAGATGAAGGATAACAGTTCATCGACTAGTAAAATGATTAATAGAAACTGGGTCTTGAAGCGAAAAAGAAGAAAACTTCCATGTGGACCTGATCTATCAAATGGCAAAGAAGAAAACTTGGGAGGCTCAGAAACTCCAAGGAATACCTCTTCTTCTAAACGCAGGCTGAAGATTGAAATAAATTCTGATCGGCCTTCATCCAAGAAGAAAGGAAATGATGGAGTGAGTAATCATTTCTTTACTTTAGCTATATAGACAGTTTTAAGTTACTTCTCAAACAGAAATGAACTAGGAAAAAGAAGAAAGAAGTTAAGAGGAAGTGATTTTGCATAAGTTACTTTCTTTTCTGCTACCATTGTTAGACTTATTCTACTTCTTTATATTATGCTTTGTGTTCATCTTGATGCATGAGTTTTGTGTGGTTGTGGACCTTCATTTTTTCCTTCTAGCGTTTGCACACACCATTGCAAAATTTTCTTTTCATAATCTTTTTGTTGATTTTATCCAACACCCATATGAGAAATGATAAGTAGAGTACTAGTAGTTCACATATTGCATTTGCTACACATATTAAGTTCTTTAATATGGAGAATTAAGTAGCATGATTCATAAGCATATTTATTATAAAGAATAGATAAACTGTAGCACAAAAGTGGAACATTGCTGGTGATTTTTGTCTTTAAGCTTGATAGTAAGTAGAGGGTAGTAACAGTGTGATAGATCAGCTAAAAGGAGCTATTTGAATCTATGAAAGTGGGGAATAGTGAAAATATTATTGTTTATCAATGAACAGAGCTTCTACAGGGCTATGGTGTTAGCTGTTTTGGTTATGTTTTCCCATTATGCACTGTGGGAACTTCTGTGTCTAGTCAGATTGTTAAGGAAAGGCCTGATGATTGCTGATCTTAGTATTCAGGTTCAGAGCTGTTGTGTTGAAATTAAACTGTGTTCCATACACACTGTGTGTATGGATAAGGCCATGAACTCTCAAGTCTGCAGTAAAACAAGATGTCCCATTGTATCTCCTCTCAGTCAAGCTTTATCGGTTTTTTTTTTTTTTCCTAATCTTTTGTGCTTTATGGGAGTTTGATCTTTTGGTTTTATTTTTAAAAAGTACCAAAACTCTCCTTTATCCAAGTTCTTTTTGGCTGTCTTTCTCTTATATATCCATGCTATTGTGATTGAGTTTTGCCATTACTTCTGTAGTTAATTTTGCACACAAGTTTCAGCAGTTATTATTTTTTGAGCAAGTTAATCATAATTATTGGAATGAGTTGAGTGAGAACTGAACACTGAGCCTGATAAACATAAGGTTATTATTCATTTCTGAAGAGTGATCTTTTGTTTATCTGTCCAATGTAACCTTGACTGTTTGTTAAGCCTTAACTAACTGGTTGACTTCTGGTCTATGCAAATTTTTTTGTCTTTCAGTATTACTATGAATGTGTGATCTGTGATCTTGGTGGTAACTTGTTGTGTTGTGATAGCTGTCCCCGGACCTATCATCTTCAGTGCCTTGATCCACCTCTTAAGGTATGCTCATTTAATCTGTTACATGCCTGCAGTTTGGGTCATGATTCTTTCTTCTTTTGTTAGATATAATTAAATAATCGACATTGCTTCTTATTCTGTTTTTAATTTCTTTCTTGGTGTTGAATATTACCTGAAGCGCATTCCAAATGGAAAATGGCAATGCCCAAAGTGCAGTCAGAAAACTGATCATCTCAAGCCCATCAGCAATCTGGATTCCATTTCAAAGAGGGCTAGATCTAAAATAATCACCTTAAAATCTCAAAGTGGGATTAAGTCATCCAGCACTGACAAAGTATCCCAGATTTTTGGAGGCAGCATTCTTTCTAAAAAAAGGTCCTCAAGCAAGGGGAAATCTGTTTTAACACTTGGAATCAAACCCTTGGAAAAGAAATTGGATTCCTCCCAAGTAGATGTTTCTGATAGTACCAAGCCAACAGATGCATCTATTGGTAATCCTGTAGAGAGGAGTTCATCATGTGTGAATGTTGATGATGAAAAAGAACATAATGTGTCTCCAACAGATTCTCCTATTGACAGGAAGTCCTCTCTCGCCGAGGAAGTTCTTGCTCTTTCTGAAGTTACAAGATCAGAGCCAAATGATGAAGCTCCTGAGGAGAAGCATGATTTGCCTCATGCTAATGGATCTACAGGAATTAAATTTGTACTTGCAATTGGTGCTTCATCAGACAAAGCTAAAAAAAGAAAAGTTGAGGTCAATAATGAAGACAGTCAAAAGAAGCATAGGACTGATAAGAAAAAGCGGTCTGCTACTGCTTCTAAAAAACGTAGGTCCAAAACAAACACTTCGAGTCCTGGAACTAGCAAGGTTCATGAGAAGCGGCAAACTGTTAATAACGGGGTTTCTGCATCTTTGTCTGAGGAGAATGACAAAACAAAGAGTTCAGATAGTGGGAGAAGAGAAGAGGTAACTTTTCTTATTTTGGTGTTATTATGATTTGCCCGGGCCATGTGGGCCATTCTTTTCAATGCCTGAAATGATGTCGGGAACAAATATTTTGTTCATTTTCTCTATCTTTTTATGCTATTCAGCTCCTTAGTTCTTGTGTCCAGTGTCATTGTTACATGCATTATTTATCTTTATCTTCTAAATTTAATTCTCTGTATGGAAACTTATGTAGTCAATGAGTTATTAAACGGTATGGATTTGGGAGTTTTTATTTGTTCTGTCTAGAATGGATGCAAATATTCTGAAATATGTAATTCTAACTCACTTAAACTCAACAGATAAATACCTTACATTACACCTCAACTTTATATGTTATTATTATCATCATTGCCTCCGTGTTAGAATTATTAATCTTTTATTGTTGGCCTTAACATTGTTGTTGCTATGACTGTTATTTGAATAAATGTTTTGTTGTTTTGCATTATGATTGTTCTTATTAATCTATTTACTTTTTTCCAAGTTTACCCAGGAAGCGGCACAGCCATTAGATGAGTCAGAGAAAGCAGGGGTTCCTGTGGATGAAACACTGATGTGTGAAGATACTGTTTCCTTTGAACTTCAGCAGGTAAAGGAATCTGCTTGTGTCAGTCTCTGAGTTATATGAAGTACACTTTCTTACTAGTAATTTGTGATGATATTACTACTCTGTTGAATGAAGGTTTTCAATCAAAAACTTCCACATTAGATTTCCGATCATAAATTATGGATCGCGGACAACATGGGAACAGTTTTGAAACTTTTGACCACTCATGACTATTATACCCTTACTGAAATGATATAATTTCTTATTTTATGCGACATAGATAGAGGACAATGGTAAAATTATTAGAAGCAGTTTCTTTCACTTTGGCTAGCCAAACATGTAATATTGAAAATTTGTAAATGAAGAGGTGTCTATATCTTTTAACTATTAGGTTTCTTATGCACCCTTGTATCTCTCTTCTTTTACTCATGTTAATATGTTTACTTACAGTACCCTATAAATAAAGAAATGATTAGGTGGCAATCTTTCCTTTTCTTTTTTCTTTCCTGTTTGAATGGTTGAAATTATTGTATACCTGCCATATTGGCTTAGACTATCAAACATAATATAATATATTTTGTTGTTTCATATGATCTATGTTACAGGTTGATCGGGTTCTGGCATGTCGAATACAAGGTGGTGATGCAAGCTCTAAACGCCACATATCTGTGACAGCTGGAGATGACTTGCGTTCTGATGATTTGGTAATGTCAGAAAATCAAAACAAAATGGAGGAAAAATTTGCCTGTGATATAGATCTAGATTCTAGAGTTGTGGAAAATCTTGCTGAGGACAATCCTAATGTCAGCGGAAGTCCTGATGAGGAAGAAAGTATGAAGAATGAAGTCAGGGTGGACCAAGAACATGTATACAGAAGATCTGTAAACAAAGAATTGAAAGAAGAAAATGCCATGGATTTATCAGGAAAAGATGACAAAGATTCAGGTTCTGCGGTTGTAAATGTTAAAGAGCAAGATGAATTTGCAATGAGCACAGAAGCTTCGGGAGAAAGAAATGAAAAGATGGTGGATGAGAGTGCAGGAATTAGTTTGAGGAATGATGAAGGTCCTACAGTTTGTGAGACACCTATTTCCTGTGAAACCATAGACATGAAAGAAGTGAATACAGAAATGAGAACAAAGAGCAATGCCGAAAACAAAATTCAGGAGTCTGCCGTAGCTGAATCTGCACATGCTAAAGGAGAGACAATATCATATGAATTTTTAGTTAAGTGGGTTGGGAAGTCCCATCTTCATAATAGTTGGATTCCTGAAGCCCAACTTAAAGTGCTGGCTAAGAGAAAGCTTGACAATTACAAGGCAAAGTATGGAACTTCTGTGATAAATATCTGTGAGGAAAGGTGGAAGCAACCTCAACGGATAATTGCTCTCCGCACTTTCAAAGATGGGACACGTGAAGCGTTTGTAAAATGGACTGGTCTTCCTTATGATGAATGCACCTGGGAAAGTTTAAATGAACCTGCTCTTAAAAACTCATCGCATCTGATTGATTTGTTTGATCAGTTTGAACGCCAAACAGTGGAAAAAGATGCTTCTAAGGATAATTTACCAAGGGGAAAAGGTGATTGTCAGCAAAGTGATATTGTTGCTCTCTCAGAGCAACCTGAGGAACTGAAAGGAGGTTTGTTGTTTCCTCATCAGCTTGAAGCACTAAATTGGTTGCGGAAATGCTGGCATAAATCCAAAAATGTAATCCTTGCTGATGAAATGGGTCTAGGAAAAACAGTGTCTGCTTGTGCTTTTATTTCTTCATTGTATTTTGAGTTTAAAGCTAAACTACCTTGTTTAGTCTTGGTTCCACTTTCTACGATGCCTAATTGGCTTTCTGAGTTTGCCTTATGGGCTCCTAACATAAATGTTGTCGAGTATCATGGATGCGCTAAAGCAAGAGCCATAATTCGCCAATATGAATGGCATGCTAGTGATCCCAATAAGCCGAATAGAAAGACATCTTCCTATAAATTTAATGTTATATTAACTACTTATGAAATGATTCTTGCTGATTCCTCTCATTTACGAGGAGTTCCTTGGGAAGTTCTGGTGGTTGATGAGGGCCATCGTCTGAAGAATTCAGGAAGTAAGCTGTTCAGCTTGCTCAATTCATTCTCTTTCCAACATCGTATTCTGCTGACTGGTACCCCTCTTCAGAATAACATTGGTGAGATGTATAACTTGCTTAATTTCTTACAGCCTGCTTCATTTCCTTCGTTATCTTCTTTTGAGGAGAAGTTTAATGATCTCACAACTACCCAAAAAGTGGAGGAATTGAAGAAACTTGTTGCCCCACATATGCTTCGAAGGCTTAAAAAGGATGCCATGCAAAATATCCCCCCTAAGACTGAGCGAATGGTTCCTGTTGAGTTGTCATCCATCCAAGCTGAATATTACCGTGCAATGCTGACCAAGAACTATCAGATATTGCGGAATATTGGGAAAGGGGTGGCACAACAATCAATGCTAAATATTGTGATGCAGTTAAGAAAGGTTTGCAACCATCCATATCTCATTCCAGGTACTGAGCCTGAATCTGGATCAGTAGAATTTCTCCATGAAATGCGGATAAAAGCTTCAGCCAAGTTGACTTTGTTGCATTCCATGCTTAAGCTGTTATATAAGGAAGGTCATAGGATTCTGATTTTTTCACAGATGACCAAGCTTCTTGATATTCTTGAGGATTATTTGACTATAGAGTTTGGACCTAAAACGTATGAAAGAGTGGATGGTTCTGTTGCGGTGGCAGATCGCCAGGCAGCTATAACGCGTTTTAACCAAGATAAAAGTCGATTTGTCTTCTTGTTGTCAACGCGTTCTTGTGGCCTTGGTATCAATTTGGCAACAGCTGACACTGTCATTATTTATGATTCTGATTTTAATCCGCATGCTGATATCCAAGCCATGAATCGGGCACATCGAATTGGACAGTCAAAAAGACTTTTAGTATACAGGCTTGTAGTTCGTGCTAGTGTTGAAGAACGCATCTTGCAGCTTGCAAAAAAGAAACTGATGCTGGATCAGCTTTTTGTGAATAAATCTGGATCTCAAAAGGAAGTGGAAGATATTCTACGATGGGGAACAGAAGAGCTATTTAATGATTCTCCTGGTATGAATGTTAAAGATACAGGTGAAAATAATTGCAACATAGAAGAGGCAGTGAGAGATCTTGAACAGAAGCACAGGAAGAGGGGTGGTGGTCTGGGGGATGTGTACAAGGACAAATGTACAGAAGGCAGCACCAAGATTGTGTGGGATGAAAGTGCAATATTAAAATTGCTTGACCGTTCAAATCTTCAATCTGGTTCAACCGATGCTGCTGAGGGAGATTTGGAGAATGATATGCTTGGCTCAGTAAAGGTGAGGTATTATGCTTGTCTTAATACATTCAATACATTTTTATGGAAAAAATTTCATCAGCTGCGGATTGAAATTATAAATTTATTTTACTGTTGTATTTACTTGAGCTATTGTGAAGCAACTCATTGTGTTATTTTTTTTCTCATCAGTCTTTGTCCGAAACATAACTTAATGTTTTACTTATAAAATGGCCACGTCCTTTGCGATGTGGGAAAATGGAATTTTACTGTGAACAAGTCATTAAAATCATACTCAAATAAGAAAATGAAATTTAGGAAAACCGAATCTAACATAATAAATAATCAATCCCACTCGAGCAACTGTCAAATTAAACAAGTGACATTCTAAAGTAGATATTTTCTAAATATACCAAGAATTCTTGGTTTTACATCAATATGTTTATGTGCCACTATTTTTCCTCCCATCAGTCCATTTTTGCATTTTTCCTTCTCTCCTCAAACTGTGATTTCTTCTTCACTAGCTTCTTCGTTGAATTTAATCTCCTTCGCACCTTAAGTTGATATTCATTATTCATCCAAAAATGAAATACTTGGCTTAGGAAGCTCTTGTAAGAATTTCTAACCGAAATCCAGTTTAGTTCAACGAGAGGAAATGGTGGCATGAGTAACAACATAAACAAACATCTACCAAAAAAAGAAGGCAATAACATACTGATGGAAGTCGGTTACTACTACAGCTTGTGGTCACAATAATTGTAGTTTCCTTTTTGCTTACATTGTTTTAAGTGCTTGGATCCTAAATTAGTATGATGTGAAATCAGGAAAAGTGTAGTGCTATGTTGTAGAATGGAGATATTCGAAGTCTCACCACAAACAGCTCAAGTTTGAAAGGTTGTTCTGAAGTTTGGTTTTTTCTATGAAAAGGGAAATTAATTTGTCCCAAATTATTTTGCTTATGGTATAAAATTAGAACATGAGATAAGGTTGCAATGTCCCTGGCAAAGTTGATGTTACTGGATTTAGAAAATAAAAATATTACCCTGTTGTAACTGAAGAATTTGCAAGGTAACTATGAACTGCACATAACATTGGTCTACGTCAAGAAAACGGAACAGGAATAAAAAATAATTAGAGAAAATTTCCTTTTATATTTAAGATTCTCTTTTAACATCATTTGATATTAGGCAGCTTTATGTTATTACCTGTCTAAGATTTAATGAAAAATAATTTGCTACCCCGTACACATTTATAATTGAAAATTCTCCCGGAATTTTCTCAAACAGTCCTTGGAATGGAATGAAGAAACACCTGAGGAACAGGGGGGAGCTGAATCACCTGCAGTTGCGACTGACGATATTGGTGCCCAAAGTTCTGAAAAGAAGGAAGATAATGCTGCGATCATTCCCGAAGAAAATGAGTGGGACAGACTTTTGCGTGAGAGGTTAAGATTTTCTTTTGTTAAATTTATCATAGTTTCTCTGCAGTTCTATATCTTCGTTAGCACTGTTGTGTGATATTTTGCTAATTCGCTCTAAATCTCATAATCTATGGGTTTGCAGCTGAGGAATAATTTCATCGAAAATTTACTTTCACCATGTTTGAGAAACATTATGTTAAAGATTTTTTCCATATTAGGAAGCTGAACCAGTTTTGTCTATCTTGGCTGAGCAAACTAAACTAAGTGACGGAAAATCATGTAATTTATTTTTCTTGGTAATAAGCCATAAATTGTGGTACTATAAGAATTTTTTGTTTAAATTATGACGGTTGATATTTGATGTTTGTATTGGATGAATAGAACTATCAGATAATATGCATTGGTGGGAGTTATGCTATAACAAGGTCAAATAAGCATTTGGGGTTATAAATTTATAATGCACCCTCGTAATATAGTATTAGAACCAAACACACACTGGACCTTAGTTATTCTTATATGATTCTCTGCGTAATGTAGATGGGAGAAATATCAAAGCGAGGAGGAAGCAGCACTTGGTCGAGGAAAGCGCCAGAGAAAAGCTGTTTCCTACAGGGAAGCATATGCGGCACACCCTAATGAAACATTGAGTGAGGTATTATTTATATGCTCTGCACATAAGCATGTCTACTTTCTGATGCTATAAATACATCTTATCTACTCATTTATATTGCTGACGAAGATGTGATGAGAGTGGTTCTTTGATGAAAACCAGGCCATACATGACTTTCACTGAATTATCTTCTTAGTTTTTCCTTTTCTCTTTGTCTTTACCATATTGTCTACTTGCATATTTGTCCGCATCCCCTTCCATAACTGAGAAAAATGTTTCAAACCTACCAAAATTTGTCTATTCCTTTCTATTAGTATTTATTTCAGGTCTGCAAATTCTTCTTTCCCTGATTCTCTCTCAGTCTCTCATCTCTCGCGCACACCCATGCTTAGGAAAGTTCAATCATTGATGACTTTGTTAGCCCTTAAGATTGAATGAATTTATGTCTTTTGCAGACTTCTGGTTCACATATTTGTACTGTTATTTTAATGTTTTTTGAAAAACTATTTTGTCATGTGCTGTTATTTTAATGTTAGCCCTTGAAAAACTTGGTAGCATGTGCTTTAATCCTCGGATACCTCTAATGATGCAATTTATTTATGTCAAAGCTGAAACTCCTAATACCTTTTACTTGATAGCATAACCCTGGATAATCTTGTAAGCTCTCTCAGAAGCATATGTTCGTTAATTGTATTATAACTAGTTTAAATCTATTTATTCTTTTGCTCTTTTTTGAAGTTGGTTTCAATCATTAATTTGTCTAAGCAGAGTGGTGGTGAAGAGGAAAAAGAACCCGAGCCAGAGCCCGAACGGGAATATACACCGGCAGGTCGAGCTCTGAAAGCAAAGTAGTAAGTGAAGTTATTTTCAAGTTTTCAAGTGATCAAGATGTCAACATATGATAACTTTGAAGCTGTTAACTGCTATCATTACTTCTGATGTATAATTAAAAAAGGAAATAGGTGAAGCAGGTGATAAAATTGTTGAATGAACTTCATGGGCTAAACAATTGGAACTCAGCTTAAAAGTTAAAAGTTGTGCTCTAATTATCAAACTCTTAGAACAATTGGTAGGTTTTAGATTTTACTAAGTAATTGCTTATTTAGGGTATTTGGATATCTATGCACAGACTATAGGCTCTTGAATATTTACACAAAAAAAGATCAAGGTGATGATTTACTGAATAGTTGCTGTAAATGTTTTGACATTAAGGTTTTTGTTAACTATTTTCAAATTGTTATTCAACAGTTCTAAGCTCCGTGCCAGACAAAAAGAACGGCTAGCACGGAGGAATACAGTTGAAGAATTGCGTCATCTTGAGGCAACACCTGGACCTGAGTTACCTCCACATTTTGCTGCTAATGAGAAAGATGGGCATCGAGTGACTGAATTGGTTCAAGAAGTCAGAGAAAAGTCTTCAGCAATTGGTTTAGAGGATGAGAAAGTCACTTGGCCCTCAGAGGCACCAAAGAGTAAGGGCGACTTAGCTCTAAGGCTGGGTAGGCTTTCAAAACACAAAATGGGCAGTCATTTGGATATTTCTGTCAATTCTCTTGCTCAGCCCTCTCCTGACAATATCCCTCCAAGTCACCATTATCAGGGCACAGGCTATACAAGCACACTTCCTCCCAACAATTTGTTACCGGTTCTGGGGTTATGTGCTCCCAATGCTAGTCAAATAGAATCACATAGAAACTTTTCAAGGTCACATGGTAGACATAGCAAGTCAGCTACTGGACCAGAATTTCCATTTAGTCTAGCTCCTAATTCTGGAACTTCAATTGAGACAGAAGTAAAAGGTCGGGAGGGTACTCCAGACAAAACAAAGTTGCATGATGTGTCAGCTGAAGCTTTACAACATCGTATTAGAGGTAGCATGCCAGATAATCGACTCCCATTTATTCCGGTAACCTCCTTCTCTATAGAATTTTGAATGCTGTTCTCTTATAAAAATATGCTACTCCGTTTATGCATATTTTTGCTTTCTTTTTCTGTGCAGTATCCTCTGCCTTCCTCACATGGAAAAATTTCTGACCGTCTAGAAAGTGCTGCTGCTGCTGCATTTGCTGAATTTCAGGAGAAGTATATGTTACCAAATTTACCTTTTGATGAGAAATTGCCACCTAGATTTCCTTTTCCTGCGACCAGCACAGGAGCTCCACATCATGACTTGTTACCTAGCTTGTCACTGGGGAGCAGACTTGAAGCTGTAAATGACTGCATAAAAGACCTTCCAGCAATGCCTCTCTTGCCAAATTTGAAATTCCTCCCACAAGATGCACCCAGATATAATCAGCAAGAGAGGGAAGTTCATCCCACATTGGGTTTAGGTCAGACACCATCCACATTTTCTTCAATTCCTGAAAATCACCGGAGAGTGCTTGAAAACATAATGATGAGGACTGGGCCTGCTTCCAACATGTATAGAAAGAAACTAAAAGTAGATAGCTGGTCTGAAGATGAACTCGATTTTCTCTGGATTGGAGTTCGCAGACATGGTCGGGGCAATTGGACTGCTATGCTTAGAGACCCCAGAATGAAATTCTCCAAGCATAAAACTCCGGAAGATTTGGCAGCTAGGTGGGAGGAGGAACAGCTTAAGATATTGGACGGTCCCGCTTTTCCAGTGCAAAAAACTACCAAGCCAAGTAAATCTACCAAATCTTCCTTGTTTCCAAGCATTCCTGATGGAATGATGTCACGGGCACTGCAAGGAAGTAAATTTGTCTTGCCGCCAAAATTTCAAGCACACTTAACGGACATGAAATTGGGCTTTTCTGATCTCACCGCTGGCCTGCCAGGTTTTGATCCATCAGAACAAGTTAGTTTGCAAAATGAGCATTTTCCACCCATTCCAACTTGGAATCCTGAAAAATTTCGGGGAAATTTTGTTGGAGATTCTTGTGCTGGACCCTCTGGTAGACCTGGGACTTCTTCAAGTGTACCATTGGAGAAGCCCTTTATGCTCAATTCTTTGGGAGTGAGCAATTTGGGTTCACTGGGTATGAACTCTGGTGGCTCTGATTTACTGAGAAGGGGGGATGAAGACATTTCAGCGAGAAGTGGGAAGTTGCGCAGTCTTCTGGACAGATCTTTTAATATGTTGCGTGACTCCAACAATAATGTGGGAAGTGGTGAATCCACCAGTTCAGGACTTCTCCCTGAACCAAACAAAGGGCTTAACAATTCTCATTCAAAGGGGAAAGAAGTAGTTGGAAGTAGTTCTTCAAAGAACAAACTACCTCATTGGCTTCGGGAAGCTGTAGGTGCCCCTGCTAAACCGCCAGATCCTGAACTGCCGCCTACTGTTTCAGCAATTGCTCAATCAGTTCGCTTACTATATGGGGAAGATAAACCAACCATTCCTCCATTTGAGATACCGGCACCACCTCCTCCCCAACCAAAGGATCCAAGACGTAGTCTAAAAAAGAAGAAGAAGCGGAAGTCGCATATGCATTGGGACAGTGCTGGGAGCAGCCAGATGTTTCAAAGTGGCCTCCCTAATAACAATGCTGCTTCAAGTTCTATTCTTCCGGTTCCACCATTTCAAATGCCCCCGCAACATATTACTGGAACTCCAGGGCTTCCTTCAGCAGAATCTGACCTTAATTTGCATCCTCTCAATTTAAATATGATGAACCCACCGTCTTCTTCGGCATACCTAATCCCCCCAAAGAAAACGAGCTCAGGACTGTCCCCCTCTCCAGAAGTGCTTCAACTGGTAGCATCTTGTGTTGCTCCCGGCCCACATTTGCCATCAGTTTCGGGCATGTCAAGCTCAAGCTTCCTTGAGAGCAAGTTCCCATTGTCGAAATCTTCAGACCAAGTAGACCTACCAGACCGACAAGGTTCACCTGAAACAATGAAAGCTGAACAGAACTCACCCATTAACGATGATCGGCTTCAACCGGAACAACAAGAACAGCAAGATAGTGGTGAATCCAGCAAGACGCAATCAGACCCTTGTCGAACTGAACAGCCTGATGTCGAGGAAATATCCTCTGAGGGAACTCTGTCAGATCATCCTGTGAGTGACGATGAACCCTAGCCCTTCATACATGAGTGAAAAAATAGGACAGGGGCTCCTAAAAATGTTGTCGAGTATCATGGAGCGCTAAAGCAAGAGCCATAATTCGCCAATATGAATGGCATGCTAGTGATTCCCAATAAGCCGAATAGAAAGACATCTTCCTATAATTTAATGTTATATTAACTACTTATGAAATGATTCTCTGATTCCTCTCATTTACGAGGAGTTCCTTGGGAAGTTCTGGTGGTTGATGAGGGCCATCGTCTGAAGAATCAGGAAGTAAGCTGTTCAGCTTGCTCAATTCATTCTCTTTCCAACATCGTATTCTGCTGACGGTACTCTCTTCAGAATAACATTGGTGAGATGTATAACTTGCTTATTTCTTACAGCCTGCTTCATTTCCTTCGTTATCTTCTTTTGAGGGAGAAGTTTAATGATCTCACAACTACCCAAAAAGTGGAGGAATTGAAGAAACTTGTTGCCCCATATGCTTCGAAGGCTTAAAAAGGATGCCATGCAAAATATCCCCCTAAGACTGACGAATGGTTCCTGTTGAGTTGTCATCCATCCAAGCTGAATATTACCGTGCAATGCTACCAAGAACTATCAGATATTGCGGAATATTGGGAAGGGTGGCACAACAGTCGATGCTAATATTGTGATGCAGTTAAGAAGGTTTGCAACCATCCATATCTCATTCCAGGTACTGAGCCTGAATCTGGATCAGTAGAATTTCTCCATGAATGCGGATAAAAGCTTCAGCCAAGTTGACTTTGTTGCATTCCATGCTTAAGCTGTTATATAAGGAAGGTCATAGGATTCTGATTTTTTCACAGATGACCAAGCTTCTTGATATTCTTGAGGATTATTTGACTATAGAGTTTGGACCTAAAACGTATGAAAGAGTGGATGGTTCTGTTGCGGTGGCAGATCGCCAGGCAGCTATAACGCGTTTTAACCAAGATAAAAGTCGATTTGTCTTCTGTTGTCAACGCGTTCTTGTGGCCTTGGTATCAATTTGGCAACAGCTGACACTGTCATTATTTATGATTCTGATTTTAATCCGCTGCTGATATCCAAGCCATAATCGGCACATCGAATGGACAGTCAAAAAGACTTTTAGTATACAGGCTTGTAGTTCGTGCTAGTTGAAGAACGCATCTTGCAGCTTGCAAAAAAGAAACTGATGCTGGATCAGCTTTTGTGAATAAATCTGGATCTCAAAAGGAAGTGGAAGATATTCTACGATGGGAACAGAAGAGCTATTTAATGATTCTCCTGGTATGAATGTCAAAGATACAGGTGAAAATAATTGCAACATAGAAGAGGCAGTGAGAGATCTTGAACAGAAGCATAGGAAGAGGGGTGGTGGTCTGGGGGATGTGTACAAGGACAAATGTACAGAAGGCAGCACCAGATTGCGTGGGATGAAGTGCAATATTAAAATTGCTTGACCGTTCAAATCTTCAATCTGGTTCAACCGATGCTGCGAGGGAGATTTGGAGAATGATATGCTTGGCTCAGTAAAGGTGTATTATGCTTGTCTTAATACTTCAATACATTTATATGGAAAAATTTCATCGCTGCGGATTGAAATTATAAATTTATTTTACTGTTGTATTTACTTGAGCTATTGTGAAGCAACTCATTGTGTTATTTTTTTTCTCATCAGTCTTTGTCCGAAACATAACTTAATGCTTACTTATAAATGGCCACGTCCTTTCGATGTGGGAAAATGGAATTTTACTGTGAACAAGTCATTAAATCATACTCAAATAAGAAAATGAAATTTAGGAAAACCGAATCTAACATAATAATAATCAATCCCACTCGAGCAACTGTCAAATTAAACAAGTGACATTCTAAAGTAGATATTTTCAAATTACCAAGAATTCTTGGTTTTACATCAATAGTTTTATGTGCCACATTTTTCCTCCATCAGTCCATTTTTGCATTTTTCCTTCTCTCCTCAAACTGTGATTTCTTCTTCACTAGCTTCTTCGTTGAATTTAATCTCCTTCGCACCTTAAGTTGTATTCATTATCATCCAAAAATGAAATACTTGGCTTAGGAAGCTCTTGTAAGAATTTCTAACCGAAATCCAGTTTAGTTCAACGAGAGGAATGGTGGCATGAGTAACAACATAAACAAACATCTACCAAAAAAAAGGCAATATCATACTGATGGAAGTCGGTTACTACTACAGCTTGTGGTCACAATAATTGTAGTTTCCTTTTGCTTACGTTGTTTTAAGTGCTTGGATCCTAAATTAGTATGATGTGAAATCAGGAAAAGTGTAGTGCTATGTTGTAGAATGGAGATATTCAAAGTCTCACCACAACAGCTCAAGTTTGAAAGGTTGTTCTGAAGTTTGGTTTTTTCTATGAAAAGGGAAATTAATTTGTCCCAAATTATTTTGCTATGGTATAAAATTAGAACATGAGATAAGGTTGCAATGCCCTGGCAAAGTTGATGTTACTGAGTAGAAAATTAATATTACCCTGTTGTAACTGAAGAATTTGCAAGGTAACTATGAACTGCACATAACATTGGTCTACGTCAAGAAAACGGACAGGAATAAAATAATTAGAGAAAATTTCCTTTTATATTTAAGATTCTCTTTTACATCATTTGATATTAGGCAGCTTTATTTTTATTACCTTCTAAGATTTATGAAAAATAATTTGCTACCGTACACATTTATAATTGAAAATTCTCCCGGAATTTTCTCAAACAGTCCTTGGAATGGAATGAAGAAACACCTGAGGAACAGGGGGAGCTGAATCACCTGCAGTTGCGACTGACGATATGGTGCCCAAGTTCTGAAAAAGAGGAAGATATGCTGCGATCGTTCCCGAAAATGAGTGGGACAGACTTTTGCGTGAGAGGTTAGATTTCTTTTGTTAAATTTACATAGTTTCTCTGCAGTTCTATATCTTCGTTAGCACTGTTGTGTGATATTTTGCTAATTCGCTCTAAATCTCATATCTATGGGTTTGCAGCTGAGGAATAATTTCATCGAAAATTTACTTCACCATGTTTGAGAAACATTATGTTCAAGATTTTTTCCATATTAGGAAGCTGAACCAGTTTTGTCTATCTGGCTGAGCAAACTAAACTAAGTGACGGAAAATCATGTAATTTATTTTCTTGGTAATAACCATAAATTGTGGTACTATAAGATTTTTTGTTTAAATTATGACGGTTGATATTTGATGTTTGTATTGGATGAATAGAACTATCAGATAATATGCATGGTGGGAGTTATGCTATAACAAGGTCAATAAGCATTTGGGGTTATAAATTTATAATGCACCCTCGTAATATAGTATTAAACCAAACACACACTGGACCTTAGTTATTCTTATATGATTCTCGCTAATTAGATGGGAGAAATATCAAAGCGAGGAGGAAGCAGCACTTGGTCGAGGAAAGCGCCAGAGAAAAGCTGTTCTCCTACAGGAAGCATATGCGGCACACCCTAATGAAACATTGAGTGAGGTATTATTTATATGCTCTGCACATAAGCATGTCTACTTTCTGATGCTATAAATACTCTATCTACTCATTTATATGCTGACGAAGATGTGATGAGAGTGGTTCTTTGATGAAAACCGGCCATACATGACTTTCACTGAATTATCTTCTTAGTTTTTCCTTTTCTCTTTGTCTTTACCATATTGTCTACTTGCATATTTGTCTGCATCCCCTTCCATAACTGAGAAAAATGTTTCAAACCTACCAAAATTTGTCTATTCCTTTCTATTAGTATTTATTTCAGGTCTGCAAATTCTTCTTCTCTGATCTCTCTCATCTCTCATCTCTTGTGCACACCATCTTAGGAAAGTCAATCATTGATGACTTTGTTAGCCCAAGATTGATGAATTTATGCTTTCTTTGCAGCTTCTGGTTCACATTTTTGTGTTGTTATTTTAATGTTTTTTGAAAAACTATTTTGTCATTTTAAAAAACTTGGTAGCATTTGCTTTAATCCTCGGATACCTCTAATGATGCAATTTATTATGTCAAAGCTGAAACTCCTAATACCTTTTACTTGATAGCATAACCCTGGATAATCTTGTAAGCTCTCTCAGAAGCATATGTTCATTAATTGTATCATAACTGGTTTAAATCTATTTATTCTTTTGCTCTTTTTTGAAGTTGGTTTCAATCTTTAATTTGTCTACAGAGTGGTGGTGAAGAGGAAAAAGAACCCGAGCCAGCCCGAACGGGAATATACACCGGCAGGTCGAGCTCTGAAAGCGAAGTAGTAAGTGAAGTTATTTTCAAGTTTTCAATTGATCAAGATGTCAACAGATAAACTTTGAAGCTGTTAACTGCTATCATTACTTCTGATGTATAATTAAAAAAGGAAATAGGTGAAGCAGGTGATAAAATTTTTGAATGAACTTCATGGGCTAAACAATTGGAACTCAGCTTAAAAGTTAAAAGTTGTGCTCTAATTATCAAACTCTTAGAACAATTGGTAGGTTTTAGATTTACTAAGTAATTGCTTATTTAGGGTATTTGGATATCTATGCACAGTCTATAGGCTCTTGAATATTTACACAAAAAAGATCAAGGTGATGATTACTGAATAGTTGCTGTAAAGTTTTGACATTAAGGTTTTTGTTAACTATTTTCAAATTGTTATTCACAGTTCTAAGCTCCGTGCCAGACAAAAAGAACGGCTAGCACGGAGGAATACAGTTGAAGAATTGCGTCATCTTGAGCAACACCTGGACCTGAGTTACCTCCACTTTTGCTGCTAATGAGAAAGATGGGATCGAGTGACTGAATTGGTTCAAGAAGTCAGAGAAAAGTCTTCAGCAATTGGTTTAGAGGATGAGAAAGTCACTTGGCCCTCAGAGGCACCAAAGAGTAAGGGCGACTCAGCTCTAAGGCTGGGTAGGCTTCAAAACACAAAATGGGCAGTCATTTGGATCTTTCTGTCAATTCTCTTGCTCAGCCCTCTCCCGACAATATCCTCTAGTCAACCAATAATGGGGTTTCTGCATCTTTGTCTGAGGAGAATGACAA